TAAAGAGGTGAAACTCTATTATTTTTAAAATGCATGTTAATTTTCTAACAAAATACAATAGAAATGATTAAGAAGTAAAGATGTTATCTTTAAATTCCCCATTAAAAATGTCATCAAGTTTCCATTCCATGTTTTTCTGTGCAGCTGAATAATTCAGTGATTTTTTTGTTGTTGTTAGTGAATCTGGTGGATATCTGTGGCCAAACAATCCAAAGAGATGGAATGATCATCAATTCACACCAGGGATCCAAGAAGCACTACTTTGTGACCACAGGGACCGACTGTCACCTCACCATGCTGGCCAGCTCGCCTAAAGAAAAGGTCCAATTCTACTTTCGTTTCTTCCTGGTCTACAGCTTACTCAGAGTTGCTCCACTAAACCCCGCCCCTCTCATCCAAGAGTCCTCACATGGCTCCGCCTCTCTCAACTTGAAACTCCAGCCCACCTCTAGTTCAAGCCCAGACGATCCTTGTTTCGCCGGATCCTATCTTCAGTTCTATGATGGCAGAGACATGCGCTCGCCACCTCTTGGGCCTCCTCTTTGTGGGAAGACTCCTCCCAAGCCAGTGCTGTCTACAGGACAATATCTGACCCTGAGGCTGGTGACACGGGGAACCCAGCCCAGGGTTGATTTTGTTGGAGACTTCACCTCTTTGAGACTGGGTAGGAAACACAGACACCTTTTGAATACAAGCTTAAACTAAGTCTTAAAAAAGATCCCAAAAGCAATGAAAACTATAAAGGTCGCATAGTTTTGTCCATTTTCTGCAGGTACGTTAAAAGGCTTAATTAAGGACATTGTTGGTGGTATGTAGAAAGCCCTAAATTGAACCCCAGTGGGCCTCAGCAGATGGCCGCTCACACTGAGCCTGGTTCTGCTGGAGGTTTCTTCCTGTTCAAAGGGAGTTTTTCCTGGACGGGGCCGCCTGTGGAGCTGGTTGACAGTTGCCTTTTGTATCTATGCTTCTTTTTCTATGTCTGCTTCTGTCTCATTGAACCCCCGTGGGCCTCAGCAGATGGCCGCTCACACTTTGGCACTGGAGTTTTCTTCCTGTTAGGGGAGTTTTTCCTCTCCACTGTCACTACAAGCATGCTTAGTGTGAGGGATTGCTGAAGAGTCAGTGAGTCGATGCAATCAGATGGTTAAACTTGTGAACCAATCTGACTGGATGATCTGGTTGTCTCTGTAAAGTGCCTTAAGATGACATGTGTTGTGTAAATTGGCGCTATATAAATAAACTGAACTGAATTGAATAAATAAATGCAGGTAGGAGCATCACATGCTTAGACAATGTTACGTTTTAGAGAGTGAGAAGTTGTTCAGTGAAACCACAGCGCAGCACTTTCATTGGCATGACAGGGTGGAGGAGCGGCTAGCTTTAGAGACTGATTAAGCATGATATTGGATAAGATGAGCATTCTGATGCTTAATGAGGGATACTCCAGCAGGACAAATTGATGTGAATGCCGACGATGGTCTGTCAATCACCAGGTACTTCTAAACATGCAACATGTGTCAAAACATTTAAGATTATATTTATTTGGTTACAGAGACTTCAGCAATAAATCAAATACCCCCACAGCTCCTCCACTTTTGCCGCATTAGAATTAGGAGGAAATTTTTATGTTTTTTCAGATAAAAATCTAAGAAAAATTTGTTCTATTTCTGTTTAGCCTGTCTTTCTCTGTCCTTGTTATCGTCTCCAAAGTGTTTTGGTTCATTCCTTTTTTTACTTTGGAGGTCTGGAATGTGGGACCATCTCACAAATTAATACACTTTAAACTACACCTGTAATCAGAAGCTCTGGCTGAGCGTTTATGGTTACTGTCACAATGTTACACTGGAAAAAATCTAAATCTAGATAAGTAATTTTTTCTTAAAATGAGTGCATTTGTTCTTGGATTAAGTAGGTAAAAGAGACATTTTGTCAATGGAACCAGACAATTTACATTTAAAGTAAGAAAACATAATTGCATTGTCTTATTTTAAGTGCATTTTGTCTAAATATCTTATTTTAAGACTAAAAATACTAATTCCATTGGCAAATCATCTCATTAACCCACTCAAATTAAGGTTAAATACACTTAATTTAAGACATTTTTACTTATTTCTAGATCTTTTTTCCAGTGTGAGCCGGGCATACACACTGGAAAAATTTGAAATCTTTCTTAAAATAAGTGCATTTGTTCTTGGATTATAGGAGGTAAAAGAGACATTTTGCCAATTTAACAAGACAATTTACACTTAAAATAAGAAAACACAATTGCATTGTCTTATTTAAGGTGCATATTATCTAATGATCTTATTTTAAGAGTAAAATTACTCATTCCATTGGCAAACTATGTAATTTATCTACTCAAATTATGGATAAATACTCTTAATTTAAGATTTTTTTTAACCTATATCTAGATTGTTTTTCCAGTGCACTGTGTGATATTTTCAATCGTTGCACACTGGAAAAAATTGAAATCTAGATAAGTTATTTTTTCTTAAAATACGTGCATTTGTTATTAAATTGGGGAGGTAATAAAAATTGCCAATGGAACCAATATTTACCTACTCAAATTAAGTGTAAATACACTTAAAACCCTGAAACCGCAGGGTTTCAAAATTCACAGCTGCATGTTCCTACACTGCAAAAAATGTAAATCTAAATAATTGTTTTCTTCAAATAAGTGCATTTTTCTTGGATTGAGGAGGTAAAAGAGACATTTTGCCAATAGAACAAGACAATTTACATTTAAAACAAGAAAAGACAATTGCATTGTCTTATTTTAGGTGCATATTATCTAATTATCTTATTTTTAGAGCACAAATACTCATTCCATTGGCAAACTATGTAATTTATCTACTCAAATTATGGATAAATACTCTTAATTTAAGATTTTTTTTTTTTACATATATCTATATTGTTTTTCCAGTGCACTGTGTGATATTTTCAATCGTTGCAGACTGGAAAAAATTGAAATCTAGATAAGTAATTTTTTCTTAAAATAAGTGCATTTGTTCTTGGATTAAGTAGGTAAAAGAGACATTTTGCCAATGGAACAAGACAATTTACACTTAAAATAAGAAAACATAATTGCATTGTCTTATTTTAGGTGCATATGATCTAATTATCTTATTTTAAGAGTAAAAATACTCATTCCATTGGTAAACTATGTAATTTACCTACTCAAATTATTGATAAATAAGATATTTTTTTTACTAATATCTATATTGTTTTTCCAGTGCACTGTGTGATATTTTCAATCGTTGCACACTGGAAAAAATTGAAATCTAGATAAGTTATTTTTTCTTAAAATAAGTGCATTTGTTATTGAATTGGGGAGGTAAGAGACATTTTGCTAGTGGAACAAATATTTAGCTACTCAAATTAAGTGCAAAAACACTTTAAACCCTGAAACCGCAGGGTTTAAAAATTCACAGCTCACAATGCATGTTCTTACACTGCAAAAAATTTAAATCTAAGTAAATTTTTTTCTTCAAATAAGTGCATTTTTCTTGGATTGAGGAGGTAAAAGAGACATTTTGCCAATGGAACAAGACAATTTAAATTTAAAACAAGAAAAGACAATTGCATTGTCTTATTTTAGGTGCATATTATCTAATTATCCTATTTTAAGAGTAAAAATACTAATTCCATTGGCAAACTTTGTAATTTATCTACTCAAATTATGGATAAATACTCTTAATCTAAGATTTTTTTTTTACTTATATGTATATTGTTTTTCCAGTGCACTGTGTGATATTTTCAATCGTTGCACACTGGAAAA